CCCGACTGGAGAGGCCAGAACGCTATGGGATGCAGATGTGATGGGGACAGTCAACGATGGGAGGGCAGGGCAGGTGTATGGTAACAAATGAGGCGGAGCTCCTAGTTTCAGGGAGCTGGGGAGAGGACAGAGAGCTTGCGGCGCCTTGAAGGGGCCATGGGCAAGGGTGGTCTGACTGCCATTAGGAGTGGGAGTCTCTGGCCAAGTTTGGGGCATACCTGTCTGGTTCATGCTTCCAGGTGACTGATGCGCTTCGCCAAAAGCTGAGCTCCTCCAGGGCAGGCGTGGGGCTGCAGGGGAGTTGGACAGGAGCCCCTTCCTGGGCCCACACCACCTGGGCCTTTGCCCCAGGCCCTGAGGTCTCCACTGGGGAGAAAAAGAGAGGCCTAGAGGCTTAGGAGTAGAGTGAAGGGCAGGGGCAGCACTGCTGAGGGGAGACGCATGGCTTGGGGGCTAGGAGGGTAGGGGGAGAGACATTGGAAGAATCTAGCACCGGAGAGCACCTGAACTTAGGAAGTTGGAATCTTTGGGGCCAGAGAGCAGATCCTTGCTGGCCCTTCTGTGGGGCTGGAGCGTGCCCTCCCACCATCACCGCCTTACCTGGAACCGCCCTCAGCAGTTGAAGAAGCAGCAGGACCGGGAACTGTGTCTCCCACATATCCCCTTTGGAGAAGCCAAGCCCTCCAAAGGGAGGTCAGAAAGGGCAGGGGGGGCGGGTGTGATCTAGAGGAAGGTGAGTGGGAGAGGAGTCTGGAGAGAGAGGGAGGCAAGACCACCCACTACTGCAAGCTGGACCCCAGGGAGAAGCTAGTCACCTCAGGCAACTTGAGGCTAGGGTAGGGCTGGTGGCTGGGGTTGTCGCAGGGACCTGGGCAGGGCAGCAGCAGAGACCAGAGTGGAGACAAGTTGCCTGTGTGAGCTGGGATGCCAGTGTGCTGCTCCCAGGGCCCCCCACCTTCTCCACTTCCCCTCCCCGTACACCCCCCCCTACCTCACACACACCCCAGAGCTCACAGTTTCGCTTCGCAGTGGAAAGTCTGAGGGGGTTGGTTCCCAGCAGTATCACCCTCCACCTCTGTGGTAGCTCTCCTCTTGTTTACTTCCTCCGTCCAGGGTCTTCCCACCGCCCACTCCTTGACCCTCCCCCGCCCTCCTAACCCCTTCCCAGGGACACTCAGCCCTCTATCCAAACTGTCCCCAAGCTGCCTCCTCAGCCCTGACATTTTCTTCTTGGCAAATCCTCTCCCCTTTCTCCTCCAACCTCTCAGGATTTCTCCATGTGTGTGAGCTGCCTCCCCACCCAGCCTACAATGACTCCTGTTGGCCCCAGGAGCTTCACTGTGCCCTAAAACATGGTAAGCCTAGGATAGGTGCATTGTACTGAGCTCGCTCTAGGTGCTGCTCAGTCCACACACTAACCCCTGCAATTTGAACTATCCCTCAGTGTACACAAGAGGAAACAAAGAGATGAGACTGCTAAGGTCAACAAAAGTGGGAATCTGCCTGCAGTCCAGAGCCCGGGTGTGTGGTACGTGCCCTTGTCTGGGAAGAGCACTGGTGTCAGACTCCACCTTCCAGCTCAGCCCCCCGCCCCCCAGCAGCTTCCCCCTACCCAGGGGGTGAACTTTATAAAGGGCAAGGGTGTTAGGGAGATGGAGAAATGCACTAAGGCCCTGAGACTAAACCCTGTATGGAGCCAGTGCAGCCAGTATGATCGTGGCAGAAGAGCCTATCTGCTCAGGCACAGCTGGTAGGTGGGATGGGACAGCATGTAGCAGCCAGTGACTTGGGAACCAGAAGCCCTAGGGTTCTGCTTTTGTCATCATTGGGCACTCATTTCCTCAGGGGCAGCATCTGGATCCAAAGTGGCTGAGACCCAGGGCTACAAGCCCTCTATCGAGGCAGGACTTCCTGTTCCTGGGGCTGTTTCTATTTGCCTGGTTCAGCACAACAGCACGGGTAGCTTTCCACTGGGCTCAGCAGTGTCTAGGTCTTGTGTGGGTTAGCAGGGCCATGTGTACATTGCTGGGAGGTGCATCCCTAAGAATCCAAAACGGGACTGAAGTCAGCTGCGAAGAGGTGCTCTGTGCTCCCCGCCCAGCCCTGAGCTTGTCCTGGAGCCGTGCGGGTAGGAGGATGCTGCCACTATTTCATAACTGGAAAGGGTCCCAACAGGATGTGTGTGGTCAGCTGTCCTCTCTACCCCTCACCCCACGCAATGCCCTGACTGGGCCCCTGGAAAGCAGGAGACAGGTTAAAAACAGAAGCGCGACCATTTCTTTATTAAATTATACAAAAAATGGGGAAAGAGAGGGGCAGCTGTGGGGCTCAGCCCCAGCCCTGGCCCCACTGCCCCCACCCCGGCCTGGCGCTGTCTGAGGGGGTGTGAGGGGAGCTGGGGAGGTCAGGCAGGAGAGAGATGGGATAGGAATGAGCTGAGGGATGCAGAGGTTGGGTCAGGAGGCTACCAGAGGAGGGAGGGGTTGGCTGGGGGAGGCAGGGAAGAGGTCAAGGGAGAGGAGAGGAGGGCTTGGGGACACTGGGCTGGGAAGCTCAGATGGAGCTTAGGAGGTGGGCTGATGACAGAGTGAGAACAGAGGACAGGGGGGCGGGCAGTGTCTGGAGAGGCGGAAATGAGAAGGCTGGGGACGAAGATGAGGGTGGCAGCTCTGGTTCGGGGTCCAGAGCAGGGAGCCAGGTGAAGTGGCAGTCCTTGTCCATTCCCACCCAGGGGCCTCCGGCCCCCAGCCCACTTGCATGGGGGCTCATGCCGACGCCCCATTTTCTGTCTTCTGCCGCTTGGGATCTGCTTCATCCTGTAGGGAGGGGAAAGAATTGGGGTCGCTGTAAAATGGGAGAGGGCCCCCCCACCCCTGCCTGGGAACACCACTGGTTTCCCAGTCCAAATCCAAGGGGCCCCAGCCCCTGCTGCCTCCCTGACAGCCCAGCCCAAACCTCCTCCTCTGCAGCTCTCTTCAGTGCAGGCCCTTCGTCCTCCTCCTCTTCTTCTTCCTCGTCTGAGGAGCCAGAAAGGGGTCAGTGGGGAAGGGCAGGGAGCTCTGGCAGAGACCCCGAGGTCACCCTCAGCCCTCCTTCCAACCCGTGACTCCCTTCCTGGAGCCCACCTCATCCAGCCCAGGCTTCCCTGCCCCGCCCCACCTTCTTCCTCCCCTTCATCCTCTTCCTCTCCATCCTCCGCGATTTCTTCCTCCTCCTCCTCAGCCCCGTTCTCCTCCTCCTGTGGGAGCCAGGAGAAGCAGCAGGGTCAGGCTGGTGGCATGCTCCCTCCTACCACCGCCAGGGCCATGGAATGGGGCAGTCAGTGGGTGAGTAAAATCTTGGGAGGCATCTTGGAGTGGCATAGTGTAGATGGGAGGGACCAAGAGGGTGGGGCTGGACACCAAGGGTGGTAACTGTGAAGGATGGTGAGAGACTAGGAGTGGGGACAGGGAGGCGGTGGGGAGACGTGGGGCCTGTGTAACCATCTCTGGCCGGACCCCTCCGCACCTCCACCACTTCTTTCTTCCGCTCTTTCCGGCTTGCTTTCTCCTCCACCTTTTCTTTCTTCTCCTTCAGGTCCTGCAGGGAGAGAGTGGTCATCTTTGGCCCACCTGGAATGACTTACAGTCCTCCCGGCCCCCAAGGCCTGATTCTCCCCCTCTGCAGTGAGGTGTGTGTGTGTGTGAGTGCATAGAGGGTGGCCACGCTTAGAGAAAGAACTTCGGTCCCCAGGGTGCTGACACTAGGGCCAGCAAAGGGCTGGAACCTAAACCAGGTGGCCTTCCCCAAGACTCAGTAGGGGAGAGGTCTGAAGCAGAGGGGAGCAAGTGACAAGGTAACTAACTGATCCCCACCCCCATCAAGTTCTTCCAAAGCTCACAGGCTGAAGAGTTCAGCTCAGCAAAGCAAATCCTCTCCATCTGCTTGCAGCCCGCCAAGCCCCACCTCCTCCCCAAGTTCCTCCGCCTCCTCTGCCTGCCCTGCTCAGCCCTTTGTCTACCTCTGGGGCCTGTTCCTGAGGACTCTCTCCTGGACATCTCTCCCAGCTCCCCCTCCGGTCTCTCCTGCCTTTGTTTCTGGGGCTTCTTAATCCTTCTGGCCAAAGGCTACCCCAGCGTGTGATTACACACACACACACACACACACACACACACACACACGTTCCTACCCCTAGGCAGTTTACATAAGGTCAAGTGGCTTACTCCTCCCTCCCTCCTGGAGTGTGTGCTGGTGAAAGAGCAGAACAGCCATTTCCAGTGGAAATGGAGGTAAAGGATAAAAGAAACACGAAGGGCAAGAGTAGCAGGCAGAAACTGGATGAAGAGACAAAACCAGCTCTCGGGCTGGGGTAGGGTGAGAAGGTAGACAGGCAGGTACCTGTCTGGAATATCCTCCCACTCTTAGCGCTCCCTCCTCACCCCAGGATCCCAGCAGACATACCCTCTCTGTCCTAGTGGCCCGTGTCAGAGGCTCATGTCAGAGTCCCCTTTGACACTCCGCCTGCCTCCCCAGCTCAGGGTCCAGGCCTCTCCTTACTCCGCTTCTTGGCAAACACTGAGTGATACCATGGGTGTCCTGATGTGATCTGATTGGATCTGCGTTCCTGTGCAACTCTCTGGATCTGATTCCATGTGGATCAAAGTTTTCTGTGGGACTAGATCACCCGGGGAAGGTGTGTCCTTTCTGGTAAGGGTTTGGGGGATGAAAGAAGGGGCCGGTGCAGAATAGCTAGTCTGGGGGGAGGGGAGGACGAAGACACTGGGTTCCCTTTCCCCTTTAAAAGGGAGTAGGGACACTTTATCCTCTCACTCCCCCCCTCCCCACCCAGTCCTCTTAGCATGCTACTTACTCACTATCCTCATTAGATCCCCACATAGTTGCTGTGGCATTTGTACTACCTGGTGTGGTGGGTTCTGCCCTACGGCTTGGGCCAGGAGCCACCTCTCTGGGGCCCCACTCCCAAGTCTCTATGGCCATGGCCTAAATTTCCCATTTGGGCTGATGGGAGGGAGAGAGGGTGAACACCAGAGGCCAAAGTCCAAGGGGCCGGGCCCTCTCCTCCCCTGTCCTGCCCTTCTGGTCACTGTCCTTCCATGACCCCTTTTCCAGCAGGGTAAGTGACCTAGGCCCTAGGTCTGGCACTCAGCACTCTCTGGCCTCATTTACTCAACCCAGGCACACACACTGACACGGACTGACACGGATTCATGCACAGAGCTCCAGAGGGGCTCCCACGCATCCGGAGACACATGGCCAGAGGAGGTTTGGCACTCTGGCACTCACAAACACCAGAGCCCAGTGGAGCCATGGCTTGGGTGCACGTACCTCTCCACAGGAACACATGGCACTGCCACGGGCAGTCCCACACACTCCCTGGGCTTCAGACATACAAAGACACCCACTCGGCACAGTCACATGCCACCGCACCACCCACGGGAGGGCCACACAGGCACACCTTGTCAGATCTCACACACAGCCCCTCTCCCACTGCCTTTCATCCCATTGGCTCCGCAGGCCTTTGGGGAGGCCTGTGTGTCAGCTCCTCAGCGCCCCCCTCCCCAAGGTCAGATTCCCAGCCCCTAAGCCCCGGCGGCATTTATTTCCCAAAGCAACACTCAGCAGGTTCCCTAGGGAAATTAAAGGAAGGCTGGAGGAGCGGCACGGGCAAAGGGATGGGGGCCAGGCCGCGCGCTACCGTGGACAAGCACAGCCCCATGCACTGCCCAGCGTCGGCTTTTTCAAAGGCATTCCCACCCTCTTCCCATTTCGAAGAATTTTGATTCTTTAAGGGGGTGGGGTGGGGGAGGCGGAGAGATTAAAAACAATAAAATCAACCAACCAACAACAACAACAAAAACCCCGCTGAAGACCAGCAGTGGAGGTAAGGAGGTGGGTAGGCGGGGAGAAGGGGGCGCCGAGGGCGCAGTTGTCCCGGGAGGGTGGCGAGGGAGGGGCCGCGGGCCTTCTGGGAGAGCCCTGTGGACACTGGAGGATCTCGAGCCGCTAGGCGGGCGTGGGTGCCG